CAGGAATCTGAGCTACAGGGAGGCAGCAGGTCCCTGTTTCTTGGAGAAGGCAAAGGAAGGTCCCCCTCAGCATTTCCCAAGGCAGCTTTCCAGGAGCACTCACCATGAACACCAACTCAGCATATTCGATCAGGAAGTGAAAGAGATAGATTATCAGGGGGGTCTGGAAGAGAGCAGAAGGGAAACTCCTGTAAAACACTGTCCAGATAAAACAGCTGGTGAGAAAAACTGAGTAGTACTAAGACAGACTGCAAAAAGGCAATTTTCCTTCCAGCTTCTTCTACAAATCTGTTACTTCAGTGATTAAGGTGATCAATCAAAGCCCACTTCCTGGCCTTTCTCCTTGCAAAGTTCTTACTTCATAAAAGACACCATCAACTTTGAAAATTACATTCTATTCCAACTTCTAAATTCTACTAGTACAGTGGTAGTTACAATAGAAAGCATATAAAGAACAGCTTTAGAAAATATTTTGTTCTAGATAAGTATTCCCTACATGGCTGGTTTCACTGTTGATCTGGTTGTTTAGATAAGTATTTTATAAAGCAAAAAGAAGAAAGGATGTTAAAAACATAAAGCTTTAGGACCCAGGTCCACTCGCTCCCACAGATCTTCCCTTCTAGAGTAAGAGTGTGTTTCTGAATCAGTCCTTGTCCAGAAAAGCTTAACCTGGAAGCACTATATTCACATGGTGTCAGTTCAGTCTTCACTGTGAGAAACCATATTTCTTTTGCAATACTGTTAAAATAATATGATGGAAAAATAAGCCAGGGAAAATATTCACAGCCTGGGAGAAAAAACTGCATTCAAAGAGTAATTTATTGAAGAGAAACAAGGTTTCAGAGATACACAAAGTATCTGCCTTACTTCTAGGTGACACTACCTACAAATGTTCCTTTGTAGCAATAAAACAACTCGCGGGCATAAAACCCCTCAGTGTTTGGAGGAACAAGGTGTTTTCAAGATGAGGAACAGAATCCTCAAGGTTGGAAAAGACCTTCGAGATCATCAAGTCCAACCATCCATCTGACAACCCCCCGACCACTAAAACATCTTATGAATCACCACATCTACCCCTTTTTTGACCACCTCCAGGGATGGTGCCTCCACCACCTCCCTGGGCAGCCTGTTCCAAGGCCTCAGCACTTTCTGGGAAGAAATTTTTCCTCATATCCAGCCTGAACCTTCCCTGGTGCAACTTGACCCCATCTCCTCTTGTTGGTCACCAGGGAGAAGAGCCCAACACCCACCTCACTACAAATCACTTCACTTCCATGGTTAACCCAGCAAGCATACTGACCTCATGAAAAACAGCTCCAGAATATGGTGAGACCCCTAAATCCAGCAGAGCTAACCCTTCGACCACTGAAACACACAAAACACCCACATTAGAATCCCCTCACGTGGAAGGAGAAAACTCTCATGATGGCAGAACCAGTTTTCAAAGCCCCATGCTGGTAAGAACCTCCCAGTGAATCCCCACCTGAGTGGGTGACACAAAACCCCACAAAGCCAACAACCAGCTAGGATCGAGTCTTACTTTTGCCATGCAGGTTTCTTCAGTAACTGAATGGGCAGTTGGAATCTACTTATTTGTTTCAGCTAAAAATGTTAAGGGCTGAAATGTTTTGCAACTTTATGCACAAATCACATGTATGTCATTTATTAAGTCACCTATTGTGGGATACACAGCATCTTTTCTGGACAAATACTTAATTCTAAGAGGACATATTAGGACAAATCAGGACATACTATGCAATTTGAATTATTTTTCCCAATTAGATGTAGAGATACATGAAATGTCCAAAACCACAGTAAAAGAATAGAAATAAATACAGATTACCAGGCAAAGCTAAAACCTTTTGTTGAAACTTCCTGATATTTTGCACCCTGAATTCAGATCCTTTGCAGCACATCCAGAGGATCTGCAGAAAGGTTCCCCTGGGGACTGGGCAGAGCTTGCAGTGGAAGAAGAGATAGGAAATGGGTCCATTTGTTCAGAGGGAACTGAGGAGCCTGCAGGGAGCAACGAGAGCTTCCTGGCTCAGTGACATGCTGGAGAAGGAGATTCTGTTTCTGCCACAAAGTTCTTGTTCCATGACAGCCCAGGCTTTTCAAGAGGATCCTAACTGTGCTCCCTACTCTCTAGACACATTCCTTGGTGCTCTAAGGTTGGAGTATCCATTGCTGCAAGGGAATTTCTGGAGCTCTATTTCAAAACTAGGCAGTGTGAAGTGCTACACACTGAGGAGCAGAGACCTTAGGTCATCAAACCCATTCATGCTTTTGACCTTCATTCTGTGCCACTGTTTTCCACCCCAAAACTGCACATAATTTTACCTGCAGAAGAACTGGATGTTATTTTCCCGAAGGGCTGTCTTTAAAGCGAAATTGAGGTTCCTAACGAGCTCAGATGCCACAGAAAGGAAGGCCACCCGATTCACCTCAGGGTCCCCAAGCGGAGTAAGGAGGACACGGAGCAGAACACGCAGCCCCCGCAGGCACCGGCAGCTGCAGCCTCAC